TGTCTCCCCTATTTCTTCTTTTCTTTAGACTAGCCAAACCAAAGTCCTGCAGTCGTTCTTCATATGTTTTAGTCTCCAGGCCTTGGATCATCTTAGTTGCTCTTCTCTAAACTTTTTCCAAAGTCTCAATATCTTTTTTGTAGTATGGGGATCAAAACTGGCTGCAGTATTGTTTAGAGCCGTGGTGGCGCAGTGGTTAGAATGCAGTATTGCAGGGTAACTCTGCCCACTGCCAGCAGTTCGATTCTCACCCGCTCAAGGTTAACTCAGCCTTCCATCCTTCTGAGGTCGCTAAAATGGTTGCAACCTTCCAGGAGCGGCCTCACTAGGCTTTTATAAAGCTGTACTGATACTTTGCGTGATCTTGAATCTATTCTATTCTACAGATCTCTATTCTCAAGGTGTCTCTCTCTTTCCTCCACCCAGGTTGCCTATGCTATTGGCGTGGCTGAGCCACTGTCCATCTCCTTGTTCACTTATGGTACCTCTGCCTACTCTGAGCAAGAGCTGCTCAATATTGTCCACCAAAACTTTGACCTTCGACCTGGAGCCATTGTCAAGTAAGTATTTCACTTTGTTTGTTTGGTTTTTTTTTTAAAAAAAGGTTTGATTTCCTAATTTTACATTTAAGTATTTAAAAAGCAACATGGCGGCCGGGTTAACCGATAATTCCATAACATGCAAGTATCTTTAATAGAAATCTCAAAGTACCACATTCAATATTTCCTCACTTTTCCCCTTAGCATTTACTGTCTCATGTTTAAACTAATGTAATTCTTATTACCATATATACCGGCGTATAAGACGACCCCCATCTTCGGCGCCGAGTTGCATGCCTAGAAAGTCATCTTATATGTCGAAAACTACCGTTATTTCTGGCATATAAGACGACTCGGCATATAAGACGACCCCCGACTTCGGCGCCAATTTTAAAGTTTGCAAAAGTCATCTTATATGCCGGAAAGTATGGTATATCAGTTGAATAAAAGTAACATTCTTACAGTTATCAATAATTTTTCAGCTTATACAGTACATATCCTAGTTATTTTAACATTCAGTCTTTATAGACCAGGGGTAGGCAACCTTGGCTCTTTTATGACTCGTGGACTTCAACTCCCAGAATTCCTGAGTCAACATGGCTCAGCTTGGAAACCTCTCCCTTTCCCCTCAGCGTGGCTGGCTCAGGAATTCTGGGAGTTGAAGTCCACGAGTCATAAAAGAGCCAAAGTTGTCTACCCCTGTTATAAGCAATCAAAGTCCTGATTAGTTTTCCCAATTTTTTAATTTCCCTTTCATATTTGAATTTAACATTTATCGATTATACTTTCCAGTTGAGTAACCCAAATTCCCATGATCAAATTCATCACAAAGTCTAATATTCAGGGTACACATCTTACCTGTTCAAACATATTCTATTTCTCACCATCTTGCATCATCTAATTAGTAATACAGTATATAACATTCTTCTTTTCTATTAATTTCCAAATATCTTAACCTTAGTATTTCACTTTGGGGGTACAGCAGAGTAGAAACAAATGGTAGATACACTTGCTTTTCTAGTCCTGGGAACTGAATGAAAATCTGAACCTTCTTCCATTCCATTTCAATTTTCTCCCAAAAGAACCAGCTTCTGACCTGGAAGTATTTATGGTGTGCTCTCCCACCCTTGGGAGTATGATAGTCCTGGGTCCTGGAGTGTATCTGTGACAAACCATTTCAAATATGTCCTTCTGGGAAAGTTCCAGCTTTATGCTCAACATGGAATCAAATAGTTCTTGCTCCAATTTGGCCAACTGGGACAACGGATAGATTTATAGGGTGGCAGCAGTTCTGTCAGTAAAGGATTAATTATCCAAACAAGAGCCTGGCACTTTTTGAGGGAGAAGAGGGACTGGTCTGGAGGACAAAATGTTCCAGAGATTTGCAGGGAACGTCACAAGGAAAGATTGGCCTTCAAAGAAGCTTATGCTTACCCAGAAGGATCCAGAAGTGAAATGGATGTGTATAAATTCCCTGATCAAAAAGACCATGGTAGCTGCTTTCTTGATGTAACCTTCACTGGTAACTCACTCAACATACCTCTGGAGTTTTTAAAGCGGTGTGTTGTGCCGATAGCTTGTGGTATCTCCTTTGGTGACAAGTATTTTGCTGGATCAACCAAGAGGTCCACTGAGGTCAGCGTTCTGTTCTGGAGAGGTCAGCAAGATGCCAATGGAAAGTCTGCTTATTCAAACTTTTCCCCTTATCATATCTATTATATGTATGGACGTGGAAATGTGTCATTTATGGGATATAAATTGCGGCCTTATTCCAGTCCCATTTCAAATGCTGTAGTGCAGTGATAGCGAACCTTTTAGAGACAGAATGCCCAAACTGCAACCCAAAACCCACTTATGCATCATCCGGGTGCCGGGTGGGTGTGGCCCATTAGGTGGGTGTGGTCCATTGGGTGGGTGTGGCCCATTGGGTGGGTGTGGCTGCGGTGGTAATTGCAGACTGGGTAGGACTAAAAAGTTCAATCAATCAATTCCAACTTTGCAAGATCTTTTTTTTCCTGCGAGAAATTGAAATTGACTGATTGCTTGAACCTTTTTTTTTTTGTACACGGTGGTGGAGGCCTAAAGCAAAAAGGTTTTATAAAACCCAGATGAAGGGCTAGGACTGGGGCAATGGCGCGTGTGCCACAGAGAGGGCTCTGAGTGCCACCTCTGGCACCCGTGCCATACGTTCGCCACCAGTGCTGTAGTGAGACCAGACCTTGAAAAAAGAAACCACGAAAGAAAGAAAGAAAGAAAGAAAGAAAGAGAAAGAAAGAAAGAAAGAAAGAAAGAAAGAAAGAAAGAAAGAAAGAAAGAAAGAATGGATTGGGTTAAGATTGGAGAATGTGATTTATGACTGTTAATTGGAGGAGGGAATTGTGCTTAGATACTCAGGGGAGGGAATTCAGATTTTGGCTTTGCCTATGTACGTGCCGATGGTATGTTACTCGAATAAAGATTCTTTAAGGTAAACAATGCCTCAAAGTTCTTTGAAGAGTTTCATCAGTCGGAACCATGACAATAAATTAATTTACTTTTTTTACTCTTAGGGATCTGGATTTAAAGAAGCCCATTTATCAGAAGACTGCTTGTTACGGCCACTTCGGAAGAAGTGAATTTAGTTGGGAAGTTCCCAAAAAGCTTGCCTTCTAACTTTCTTGGGCCAACCTCTCTCCATTTCAAAGGAACAGGATTTTACTACCCCGAGTGCTTCCGTTGACCAATGTCAGTGCTGAAAAAAATAATAATGGAGAAACAGCCCCCTAATTGCTTTCTCTACATCTCATCCCATGCAGACTTTACAGAGGATAAATTTGGGGCAGACGGATGCCATTTTAATTTTGTCTAATGCTGCTATTTTGGGGTAGGGGAAGGAAATTCACTTTGAAAAGACGAGAAGGACCCTGAAACCTACAATCAAACAACGGACTTTGTTTTTATTTTTATTTTCCAATCCAGCAAATCTACATCTTTCTAAAATGCTAAGAGGAAGAAACATGTTTTTATTTTATTTTTTCTCAGATTCGGTATGGTTTCTCAACATTTTGCAACAGGACAATTCAAGGTTCCGGCATCCTGCTTCCACATGGAGGTTGTACTACAAGGAGTAGTTTAACTCTTGGAGTGAAAGAGAACATATTCTCCTCTACTGGAGACCCATCTTTTCGAGAGGGGTTTCGCCACGTTTTACTAATTCTGTTCCAACTGTCCAATCCATGTTTAATTCTTTCTTGCTCTTGCTCTCTTTCCTTTCTTAACGGCCTTAGCGATAGTCCTTCACAGGGAAGCCTGTCCAGTACGGTCCTGTGCCATAACGGTCATAAAAGCTGTGGTCATAAAGCGAACGTGGCCATTGTTAAGTAGAGGCTACTCTCATTCAGTGAACCAACGGTTCACTACAAGGATGGTGTTGTCCCAAACCGGAAGCACCCATTTTCGGCAAAACCATTGCAGTCCTATGACTGAGGGATGCTGCAAATAACTGTAAACATGGCAATGTTGTCAACTCCCAAAGTTTAGTCAGGGTCCAAATCTCAGAATTTCGAATCTGGTTCTTTTTCGGGTCGGTCATCACTTCAAACGGATTGCAAAGCAATCCGTCATGCTTCTGCAAGTAAATGTTTTAGACGTGTACCTGGTGCCTTTTATCGACATGCATCAATGCGGCTAACATTTCTGGAGCCTGTTTCTAGACAGTTTTAGATACAAATGTGTTTTTTTTTTTCTTAAAAAAAAAAAGATTGGCAGAATGGAGGTTATACGAGCCACGCATTTCGGCCCCTGGTTGAGCCAATGTGGTTGAATGGTAAGCACAAGGTGTGACTTGGAGAATAAATGCAGCAAGAAGCGAGGGAGGACACGTGAAGGAAGAGACGTAGCAGCAGCCTGTAAAGAAATGGCAAAAGAATGACTCTTGGGAATAATGCTGGGAATAACCCCATGGAGACAAGACTCGGGGGACTGGGAAAATGGGAGCCGTTTTTCCAGTATTTTAATTTAAAATATCGCCATTGTGTACTGACCCGAAAAATCAGGATACGTGTTTGCTTTAGTCAAAATAATATCTTGGGCCAGTAATGAAAAAGAAAGCCAGTCTGGTTTAGTGGTGAAGACTTAAAAACTAGGAGATGGTGAGTTCTAGTCCCGCCTTAGGCATGAAAGCCAACTGGGTGACTTTGAACCAATCACCAGGAGATTGTGAGTTCTAGTTCCGCCTGAGGCTAAAAACCAGGAGACTGTGAATTCTAGTCCTACCTTAGGCATAAAAGTGAGCTGGGTGACTTTGAACCAATCACCAGGAGATTGTGTGTTCTAGTCCCGTTTTAGACATGCAAGCCAGCTGGGTGACTTTAGGCCAGTCCCTCTCACCTCACAGGGTTGTTGTGGGGAAAATAGGAAGAACGAACGTTAGACACGTTCACCACCTTGAGCTCTTTCTAAAAACAGTAAAGGCAGGATAAAAATAATCATAATAATCAAAAAGAAGGCAGAAAGAGAAATGCCTCCCCTGAGCTAGAAAAACGGTTCTGTGGAAACAAAATGGCTCCCAGGCACCGTCTGATGCTTCTTTGTTCAACTAGACCAGTGGTTCTCAACCTGTGGGTCGGGACCCCATTTGGGGTCGAATGACCATTTCACGGAGGTCGCCAAACAACGCAGTCCGCCATTTTCCCCCCCTTTTCCTTAGCTGCGCTACTCCCTTTTCTTCTATTGGCTTTTTTTTTTTTTTTATTGAAAATTTTTACATTTTACAAAAACAAATCCCCTTCCCATACCCCCCCCACCTCACCCCCCCCCTTCCCAACCTCCCAAACCCTCCCCTGGACTTAATTAAAAAAAAAAAAAAAAAACTTAAAACACTTTTAAAACCTAAACAAATTTAAATACAATCATCATTCTATATAAGCTCCCTCCAAAAACACAAATTTAAACATTACTTTCTTTGAATATCTATATCTATAATATAAAATCTAATTTCTCCCTCTTTCTTTATCCTAAAACGAACAAATAAACATACAAATCTTTGTTATACCATTAAAGCTAAATACTCTTAAAGAACTTAAAGTAAGTACATATTTCCTTCAATCTTCATAATCTTCTCTCCTATCCAAAAAGAAAAAAAAAAACAAAAAAAAACAAAAACTTAAAAAACCTATAAGTCCTAAACAAATCTAAGCACATTTAATTAAACAAATTATTTTGTCTTAAAAATATTAATAATAATATTTAAAAACTAAAAACACTTTTAAATCCTAAACAAATCTAAATACAATCATCACTCTATATAAACTCCCTCCAAAACCACAAATTTTTAAAATTTAAAACATTAGAATCCACTCACTAAAATAAGCAAATTATAATCCCTTCAAAACACAAATTTAAACAATATTATCATTAAAGGTTCAAAACTTAAAACAACAAAGTTAATAAACACATTAAACATTTCAATCTTCACCAATAACTAATTCCATCCGTAAAAAAATACATCCTTATCAATCTCAATTATATTAGTATTATTAATTATTCACATTCCAGTTTTTTCCATTCTCCATTCTTCCATTCTTCCATTTCCCTTCTCCATTCTTGTATCAAACTCGTAAGAAATGCTGCAAGTTCTGCCTTAGGAGACTGCTCCAAAAATCCTGAATCTCCCATCGACTCCGAAGCCAATAAGGGTTCCTTAAATTCCTCCTTGTATTGATCTTTACAATTGTAAGTTGTAAAAGTTATCCTCTGCCCATTCCTCTCTTGTTGATGCCCCTCAGACTGAGATTTCCCAGTTTCCATTTCAGGCAACAATTCCACCCTTAAAGATTGCTCCAAAGACTTTGTAGGTCTAACATCTCCCAGAGATTCAGAAACCACTAAATATGAAACTTCCTTAACCTTCTTCTGTTGCTGCTTTTCTTTGGGATTATATACTGCACAAGTTGTCTTCTGCTCCTCAACCTGGACTTGTTGAGGCCTCTCACACAAAGATTCTCCAGTTTTCATAAATATAGGCTCTTCAAAATGTGATTCTACATTCTTTTCTTCCAAAGCTTTAAACTTAATTGATGGCGATGCACATACCCCCAGGACCGAAGTATAAAAATCTTTTGCTTGAAAAACAGTATTAAGTCTATAACATGTCCCCAGGTAATTCACCACCATTCCAATCGGAACATCCCATCTGAATGACATTTTTCTCTTTTTAAGTTCATTTGCTAAAAAAGCAAACTCCTTTCTTCTTCTTAAAATTTTAGATGGGATCTCTTTAAAAATTATAACATATTGTGAAGCAATTTGAAATCTCTTCTTATAATAGGCTTGCACAATTTCATTGCGTAAAGATCTTTTACCAAAGTAAATTACCACATCTCTTGGCAGATTCTTCTGTGCTGCCACCACAGAGTTAACCCTAAATAATTTTTCAATTTCATTAAGTATTCCCTCTTTTTCTTTATTCACAATCAATGCAAAGTCCTTTGCAACCATCTCCTTCAGATCTCCTTGCAAAGACTCTCCCAGGCCTCTAATTCTTAAGGCATATTCCATTTGTCCATATTGAAGCATAAGAATCTCATTTTCCATTTCTTTGTCCATACTTTCAATTTTCCCCTCCATTATGTCCACTTTTTCAGCTACCTCTTCCACATGGGAGTTCACCTTTTCAAGAACAGAAGCAACACCTTCTACAGCCAAAACAAAATCTTGTCTCAAGATCTTATTGTTTTCCTCTAAAATCTTTTTCATTTCTGCCCTAATTTGAATTATAACATCTCCCATCATGTCTTGCAAATCCTTCATAGTTATTAGCTGACCCCCAGAAGAGGGTGAAACTATTGATTTAGAAACTGTAGAAATCCCTGGACGCTTTGGAGCCATCTTAAAGAAAAACCTTTAGTCCTTCTTAAGAAATTATAAAAATTCCTTCAAAAAACATAACTCCCTCCAAAGAAGGTCATTATAATAAAAAGAAAAAAGGGAAAAAAAGGAAGAGAAAAAGAATTAAAAAAAAATTTTACTCCTTCTTAAAAATTACAAAAAATTAAACAGAAAAAAAGTCCTTCAAAAAAGGGTCATTACAATAAAAAAAAGGGAGTTCAAAGGAAAAAAAAAGGGAGAAGAAAAAAAAAAAAATAATTAAATAGAAAAAGTCCGTTCCAAAAAAAATACTTAGAAATACCAAAAACAACCATTCCAATCATAAGGAAATAAAAAGAGAAAGGGAAAGGAAAGAAAGAAAAACACCAAAAAGCCTGCCGGTCAGCATTCTAACTTCAAGAAAAAAAAACACCGAGGAGTTTGCCGATCGCCATTTTACTTTCCCTTTCAACAAAGAAAAAAAATAAAAAGAGAGAATAAAAATAGAAACAAATCTTAAAACTTAAAATCCAAATAAGTCAAAGAAAGCAAAAACTAAATCCTCTACTCCGCTCTGTCCATTTAAAAAAAAAAAACTCACCAGTTCTCTTTAAGCACGGAGGTGTTTGCGGCGGCTCGTTTTGTCCCTGAGGACAAAAACAGCTGGGAAGCGGAGACAAGTCTGAACTCCGTGGGAGCACTCCTTTCACCCCCCCCAAAAAAACTTGGGGGGTGCAAAAGAGGCTCTACCACTATTCAGACACTCTCTACCCCCCCCCTTTGCCCGGGAGGGGGATTTTGAACCGCTGAACAGCTGGTGTCTGCTGTTCATAGGTTCTTACACTTACCCAGGAGGACGGCTACAAAGTAGCCGCCATCACGCACGCAAAATCCACCGGAAGTCCCCTCTTGAATAGAGTCTAATTCTATTGGCTTTCAAAAGCCAAAAGGAATTGTCCAGGCTGTCTCTGCCCTGCTGAGCCCGCCAAAAGTCCCATTCTGCAAACGGAGCTGCACCAGTTGAGTAGTCCTCGACTTAGACCGGTTGGGGGTCGCGGCATTAAAAAGGTTGAGAACCACTGAACTAGAATAAGAAATACAGAGGTATAGCTCTGCCCTTATAGGTTGCGCTTCTTGAAAGGAACATTGCCTTCCCTTGCTTGGGATCAAAAGGGAAGGAAGCCCTGATTTGCGACATTTTTGTGCCTCCTCAGAATTCAAACTCAATATTTTACTTTACCATGTAAAGCATCGCCTATGCTCAATGGTGCTATATAAATGGCTATTATTCACAGAGGACAGGCTGGTGTCATAATCACAATTCTGTCTCAGGATTACAAATGTAGTTTGGTCCCAGCCCGGGAAAATCCTATCAGTGCCTTGATAGCTATATGGTGTTTTGTTTTGTTTTTTAAAAAACGGGATAAGGGTTTTTTCCCCCCCTCCCTTCATGTCTAGCTTTTTTCCTTCTCTTATGTGTGGCTTGCAATCTCTCTTGGTGCTTGTTGATGGGTTTTCCGCTCCTGTTTTATAGACCATCTCTTGCGTATCTGAACATCGTCACCGTTGGATCAAAACTGGCTGGCAGGGGGCAGAGAACCCTATCTTTTTCAAAAAAAAAAGAGAGAGAAAGGACGCAAAGTACACTTTTGCAATGTATTTAAAGTGCATAATTTTAATTAAATTTAAATAAAATTTGAAGCGAAGGGGACGGTAGATCACATTACCCCCCTGGAATTGCAGCCATTGCAGAAGGCAAGCGCTGGGTGATGAAAAATCGGAACTTGGTAGGTCCTTTTCTGCTAATCAGGGTTAAAAGGCACCAAGTGTTTTGTGAACGGCATGATTTCATCTAGGCATGTGATGAAGCTGATGACTTTTAATAAAAATCGGCTGGAAAATCAGCTATGCTCATGGTGTTTGGCCAATAGAGGGCAACATAACCTCACTTGGTTTAGTGTTCATCATCACCTTCCGGATCCCAACGGTGCTTTTTCCAGGCAGCAGCTGGACCTTCCTTTGTTTTTCTTTGAAGACGTTTCGCTTCTCATCCCAGAAGCTTCTTCAGCTCTGACTGGACAGTGGGGAAGGGAAGGATTTATACTCCTTGCAGACAGCTGGTCATTTGCCTCCCTTTAGAGAGTCGTTGAGATAAACTTGGAGGTTTATCTGTGTCCTTGGGGTCACCTGCGTAGAGGAAATGGCTCCTGTAGTCTGCATTTTTTCCCCTGGAAATCCATATTTCCACACTATTTGAAGGGTGTTCATCCCAAAGTGCATGGCTAAAAATCTCTGGGGATTCTCAGTCCTCCAGGTCCTGGTTGAATCCCACCACTGGATAAGTCCCAAAGATGCTTTCTTTCTGGAGGCAACTGGACTTTCTTGTTTTTTCTTTGAAGATGTCTGCAAAGAATGCAAATCCTTCCATTCCTCCACCATCTTTGTTGTTGTTAATTGCGAAGTCGTGTCGTACCCATCGCGACCCCATGGACAACGTTCCTCCAGGTCTTCCTGTCCTCTACCATCTTCTGGAGTCCATTCAAATTCACACCTACTGCTTCAGTGACTCCATCCAGCCACCTCCTTCTCTGTCGTCCCCTTCTTCTATTGCCCTAAATCTTTCCCAGCATTAGGCCCTT